GTGAGGAAGCTGGTATGTGGTTGGTGTCCAGAGAAGGCCTCAAAAAGGAGGAGAAGCTTCTGGGGAGCCTTGGAGAATCAGGAGGAGTTGGCCAGACCAGATAGGTGTGTGGGTGATGTTGTAGGCAGAAGAAGAGCAAATGCAAACGCATGGAGTGTGAAGCAGTGAGGTGCGTTGGGAGAAGGAATCCCAGCTTCTGAGGCTGGAGTGCAGGTTGCAAGAGGAGGACGGGCAGAGTAGGAGCTTGGCCAGCAGGCCTCGGGCCAGCTTTGGGAGGCCTTTGCTTGTCATGTGGTCATGTCATTTCTTTCAGGCTATACTCACCTTTCTTGAGAGGCCTTCTTGGATGAATGCCATTCTCTAGCCCCTGTGCCTGCCTTAGCCTTCTTCCTAGCACTTACTGCCTGCTCTGTTCTGGGTTTGGTGTTCGCTGCCTGTCTTCGTCGTAAGGACGAAAGCCCCAGCAGAGCAGGGACGTTCTTCTGTGACGGCTCTCCTGGTGCCTCACGGTGAGTGATGTTAGGGGATTTGGACTCATCTTCGTAGTGAATGATGGGAGGATCACTGAAGGTCTAAATCGGGAGTCACCTGAGTGCATTTGGGTGTTTGAAGAGCAGTGTGGATGGCAGGAAAGCTGAAGACAAGTATTTAGGGAGCACCTCCATGCACATTGAGGGGAAGGGAGTCCGTTAGTGGTCACGCTCTTCAGGCTACCTTGGGTGGGCCCAGGCTTCGCTGGCCTAGTTAATTACCAATAGCTAGTATCAATGTCATTCCATCAGTGACATTCTGAAACTACTAAAAATTACAGAGAAGCAGCTGGGTGCCATGGCTCACTTCTGTAATCCCAGCACTTTGGGAGGCTGAGGCAGGTGGATCACCTGAGGTCAGGAGTTCGAGACCAGCCTGACCAATATGGTGAAACCCTGTCTCTACTAAAAATACAGAAAAAAAAAAAAAAAAAAAGTTGGGCTTGGTGGTGTGCGCCTGTAGTCCTAGCTACTCAGGAGGCTGAGACAGGAGAATTGCTTGAACACGGGAGGCAGAGGTTGCAGTGAGCCGAGATTGTGCTACTGCACTCCAGCCTGGGCGACTCCATCTCAAAAATAAATAAATAAATAAATAATAAAAATAAAAATTATAAAGAAGCTCAGATTTTTTTTTTTTTTTTTTTCACTCTGCAAAGCTGATAGCTGCCCAGGGATTCCAATAAAAGTCATGATGTTATAATGTTACAATCATTTTTGATAGTTCAGTGATTGAAAAATCCGAAGGAATTGTCTTTTTTTTTTAATGCTTTGAAATAAAGTTGGTTCTTTATGTAAAAATAGGTTTTATTAGGTTCTTAAATTGGCTTCAGGACAGCCTGACCCCATAGCCATGTGCACTTCATAGTTGGGCTATTTGCAAAGTTAAAAAAAGATAAGAAAGTAGGCATTCTGCAGTTCTTCTGAGAGAAATGGTATGAGGTCTCATCCTGTTTGCTGGACCCATGAGGGAATGAACTGTTTCATATATAGGAATTTTCCTGATAACTGATCCTTAAGACCTGGTTTAAGGTCTTTAAACCTGGATATTTTTAAGACCTGGGTATATTTAATTTTTCCCTGTAGTTTTGGATGGAAATCTTTCTAAAATAAATTTTTATTTTTGGGGGCTTACAGAATGCATTCAACGTAAGTTAATGATTCCTTGCTTATGAAAGAATGAATTATTCAGAATCACTGAAGTGTGTGGTTACTATAATGATAGGGCCTACCGATACTTGTATGACTATTTTGGCGAGTGACCCCAGCATGCCCTGTTTTCTCGGTTACTGTCCTTGGCTTTTAGGTAACCAGTGCTCCAAGCAGCATACACACTGGCTACTCTTGTGGATTTACTCAGCTTGTCTCTCTTGAAGGCTGGGAAACAAAAGAACTTTTCTGCTTTCTAAAATGAGAACAAACGGGCCTTGGGTGAAGGTCTGTCTTAGAAGGCCTTAAGTCAAGCCAGTGTACTTTACCGCATAGGTTTTATCACATCTTTAACATTTCAAAGAAAGAGGCCTCATTTTGTTTTTCAAGTCTTTCTAACACTGAACCATCCATATCTGAAAAAATAATTATATTATTACTTTAACTGGCATCACTGCTGGGTTTGCAGGGTAAAAACAACACCCCCAAGCCTTCTTACACTGTTTGCCTAGAGGCCCCCTGGCTTGCCTTTTGGTTCCAACGTGTGTGAGGTGAGGTGTTACTGTACTAAAGGTTTTTTTTCATCAGCTTTGACAATGGTGGTTATTTATTGATCGTCTGCCACGTGTAAGGCACTACAAACAGCACAGGGAAGTGACTTCTTTCTAGAAACTTAAATTCTAGTTTGGAGGAGGACGTAGTGGAGCAGAGCTAGCCACAGTACTTGGAATTTGTCAGAGATCAGGGTAGCTCAGCCCCAGGAAGGCCTAGGGCTGGGGAGTCCTCCTCTCCCCAGAAGGCTGGCATTTGACTGAGAGTGCAGCTTTCAAGGGGACTTGATGGAACTGAGAGGGAGCAAGAGGCCCCGGGAAGTGCACAATAGCAGAATCAGCCCCGTCTGTCAGCGGGTGGCATAAGGTGGCCAGAACACCACACCTGAGTTGAAGCTTGTCTACACATGCCAGGTGGGTGGGGAGGACAGCAAGGGCTGCAGCAGATGGAGGAGGTGACCATTTCCCCTGGGGAGGGGGCATGAAAACTTCATGGATGAGGGTGGATTAATGCTGGGTCCTGTCTAATGAGCACAGTGCTGGGTTGGAGAAGGGGAGGGAAGGGCGGCCAAGGGGAGAGATGGTGGCTAAGAGGGGCGAGGTGGAGAAGGACCGGGTGTGTGTTGTAACTCTGAGGCGCTGGCTTCTCAGCAGAGCTTGTTCTACCTCCTGGCTTCCCTGGCTGAGCCTGGCAGTGGGAAGACAATGGGTTCTGGAATCGGATAGGCCTGGACCTCAAGACCAGTTCTACCACTTTTTAGCTGTGTCATCCTCAGCAATGTCCCCAGTCCCTCTCCATCAACTTCCTCATGTGTACAAGGGCGATCAGGAGTGATCTTGTAGACTCTTCAGAAGGAAAAAACAAGACTTAGATTTAACCATGAACAATGTAAACATAGTATATGTTCAGTAAATGGTAGTTTCCTTGGGCCAGCCCTTCCACAGAGCCCTGGTCTGGAGCCTCCTGAGACCCACAGTCTCTGCCCACTTTCTGACTCACTCACAGCCACTGTCAAGTCAGCAAGCACAGGAGGAAAGGCATGACCGCATCTTCTTCCCACACGTCTCCTCTCTCTTTTGTGCCACGTTTTCTGTCTGGTATAGAGTTTGAACCTGGTCCAAACCCTTGGCACCCTCTTTGGCTAGTTTTTGCCTCTCACGTGATGTCGCAGTCCATCATCTCATCCTGTCCATTTCTTTCTCCTGTGACACTATAGTCTGTAGCTGTGCTGGGTGCACATCACTCCACATCCGGATGGCCCCACTGCTTTCCCGAGGGCATCTCTGACTTTAACAAGCCCCCGTCCATCTTGCACATTCTTCAGACCCTGCTGAACTCAATCCTTCCACGGTCCTTTGCTTTGGCCATATTTTTCCCATCTAACCTTGTTTTCTATTAGTTCCAAGAACAATAATAGCTAATATTGATGTGCGCCAGGTATGCTTTAAGGACTTTATATTGGCCCCCCTTTTATTTTTTGAGATGGAGTCTTGCTTTGTCACCCAGGCTGGAGTGTAGTGGCACGATCTCGACTCACTGCAACCTCTGCCTCCTGGGTTCAAGCGATTCCCCTGCCTCAGCCTCCTGAGTAGCTGGGACTATGGGCACCCGCCACCACACCTGGCTAATTTTTTGTATTTTTAGTAGAGACAGGGTTTCACCGTGTTAGCCAGGATGGTCTCCATCTCCTGACCTCGTGATCCGCTCGCCTCGGCCTCTCGAAGTGCTGGGATTGCAGGCGTGAGCCACCGTGCCCAGCTAGCCCATTTTTTTTTTTTATAACCTCATGAGGTAGGTATGATGGCTATTGCCATTCCCAGTGGCTCACACCTATAATCCCAGCACTTTGGGAGGCCAAGGCGGGCAGATCACAAGGTCAGGAGATCGAGACCATCCTGGCCAATATGGTGAAACTCCGTCTCTACTAAAAATAATACAAAAATTAGCTGGATGCTGTGGCGTGTGCCTGTAATCCCAGCTACTCAGGAGGCTGAAGCAGAAGAATCGCTTGAATCTGGAAGTCGGAGGTTGCAGTGAGCCGAGATCATTGCACTCCAGTCTGGCAGTGTGGGCAACAGACTGAGACTCTGTCTCAAAAAAAAAAGGTGGAGGGAACTGAGGCCTGGGAAAATTACGTGATTGTCTAAGTTGCACAGCTAGTCAGTGTTTGAATCCAGGCAACCTGACTCCAGACCCTATACTTCAGATCCACTCTGACTTCACTGTCTTCTAGACGCTCTAGAAGAGCAGGGCTCTGTCGTTCACCTCTACTCGTTACCCTGTGCCATCTGGATGTAGAGTAGACACTCCCTAAATGCATGCGCTATGGAACGCCCTCATTCCCTGTTCTGTGCCTCGTTTATGTCACTCTCCCCCAGCATCGTGGCAGGAGGTGGAGGCAGGGGTCAGTGCTCTGAATGTGAACTCAGACAGCTTGGGCTTCAGACTTCAGCCACTTTCCAGCCATCAATTACCTTGTCCAGGTCTCTCTCTTAAGCTACAGTTTCACCCTAAAAAAATGGCGATAAATCATTGTGCCCACCTCCTGGAGCTCATATGATGAATACATAAAATTTTGTGAGTCAATGCTTTAGTCCTATGCTTAACGCATAGAAAATGGTAAACAATAACATCCCCCCCACCCCATTGGCTCTATCATCTAACTTTGTCCATTCTTTCTGGCCCCTTTCAAGGTGTATGTGCCCTCTGGCACTTGTGTAACGTCTTCGGCTTATAACGAATTGATACTTGTTCCTGTTTGACCATAGATTAGCTGTGTGACTTTGAACAAGTTACTACATTTTACAAGCCCAAGATGTATCATGGTGATCACGAAGGGTTCTTTGGGGACTGAAGGAGGAATACGTGTATCATGGTAAGCACTGAGTCCATTTTAGTTTGTTTGTCTTCTTCCTTCCCTCATCACCAACTTCCCTCCACTGACAAACGGGCCCTCCATAAAAGCTCATTGATAGACTCAATACCTAACTTAGTCTAGAAGAAAGGGAGGTTCCTATCTTATGGGATAGCCTGGGTTGTAGTCAGTTCGCAGGAACTCTAGAAAGTTGTAGAGTCCTGCCCTGTATGGTTTTTTTTTTTGTTGTTGTTGTTGTTTTGCTTTGTTTTTTGTTTGTTTGTTTGCTTTTTTGAGATATACTCTTAGTGGTAGTTCTAAGCATGGCCAGACCTTACAACAGTCATACAATTTTGACATCCTCTGAACTCATCCATTCAGCAAATAATTCTTGAATTATCTCCTCTGTCCCAAGAACTGTTGTAGCGGTTGGCGGCATGATGGAGACCAAAACAGTCCTGGTTTTTGTTTACATGGGGCTTTGTTGTTGGGAGACAGACACCAGCCATCCATAGAGTAAACTACATAGCGAGATGTGCTAGGAAGGGAAATGAAAGGTATCCCGAGATATGAAATAAGGGGGATTTAGAGTTGAGGGCCAGGGAAATATTCCCAGTGAAAAGGACGTGTGAGCAGAGATCTGAGGGCCCAGGAGGAGTACCCAGGTACAGAGACAGTGGAATACCTTCAGATTTAATCATCACTCCTTTTCTTTTAATGTAATATACTATTTAGTATTTTATTAAGCTTGGATGATGACAGATGATAATTATTCTTAAAATCTGGAGGCACCCAAATATGCTGTCACTGGCTGCTTTTATCTCACTATAAATAGTACGTGTGTTGGGCTGGGTGAGGGAGGCTGAATTGTATTTAAGCACAACCGGTGCATTGTGTGTTTTTTTTTAATTATACTTGGGGCCAGTTCTGTCAGTAAAGCCCATCCAGGCACTTTGTCACATTATGGATAGCACTGCCTGGGCTTGCCTGCCCAGGGCAGGTGCTCTTTATTTTAATTTGTATTACGTATATTTGCTCTGAAAGTTGTTTTTGTTGAAACTTGAAAAGCCAGGTGCTTGCAGCTAGAGAATGGGCAGACTTATTGGAAATTTGCTGAACAAGGTTTGTTACCATGAAGTAGTGACACCCTCAGCCAAGTGTAATGGGCTATGTAGAGAACTGTCCATCAAAACCCCCAGTATGATGACCACTATGGAACTGGCCTTCTCTTTCAGGACCGGTATTTCCTGAAGCGTTATAGCAGGGTCTCTCAAAGTGATGCACCTGGGATAGTAAGAGGTTACATTGTAAGAGACACAAACATGACAGGGAACTACTCTGTCACTGATGGTGCCAGCACCTTGCTGTCCAGTCTGTCTGATGAGGTCAAGGGAAGATTCTCTCTGTAGCTGTCATTTTTCCAGCACCTTTTATTTGCAAATTTTTCTTTGAACATGAAGAAGCAGGCCCCGGGAGACAGTTCCATCTAGCTAACTTTGCTTTGCTTTCATATTTATATTCATGTTATTTATTTGTTTATCGAGAGGGAGTCTTACTTTGTTGCCCTGGCTGGAGTACAATGATGCGATCTTGGCTCACTGCAACCTCCGCCTCCTGGATTCAAGCAATTCTCCTGCCTCAGACTCCCAAGTAGCTGGGATTGCAGGTGTCCATGCCACCATGCCTGGCTACTTTTTATATTTTTAGTAGAGATGGGGTTTCACCATGTTGGCCAGTCTGGTCTTGAACTCTTGACCGCAAGTGATCTGCCTGCCTCAGCCTCCCAAAGTGTGTATTCATGATATTTCTATTTATGGCATGTGACACATATTTATAGCATTGACTTAAAGATTCTTATAAAAATGAAATTAAAAATGAATTGATTTGTTAAATAAGTAAATAATAGTAGACATGACACTCAGATTTGGTAAAATCATGAGGGTAGTACTTGAATGACTGAAGTTTGAGAATACTGCCTTGGCGTAATGTGGATTTTTTTTCTTCCACTGTCTGGTATTTAGTTTCTGTTTCTGAGGACCTACTAAAAATTGGTTGTTAAAATCTGATAACACAATAATATACTACTTCTTACCCACTATTATGGCTGTACTAAAAACGATGGATGATAACTAGTGTTGGTGAAGATGTGAAGAAATTGGAACCTTCATAAATTGCTGGCAGGAATGTAACATGGTGCAGCTCCACTGGGGAACAATTTGGCAGTTCCTCAAAATCTTAAAGAGTTACCACGTGACTCAACGGTTCCACTCCTAGATATAACCCCAGGAGAATTGGGAACATACATTCACCTAAAAACCTATACATGAGTGTTCATAGCAACATTATCTGTAATAGCCGAAAAGAGGGAACACACCCAAGTGTCTATCAACTGATGAATGGATAAAAATGTGGTATATCTATACAGTAGAATATTAGTCAGCCATGAAGAGGACTGAGGTACTGGTGCAGGCTTGAACATAGATAAACCTTGATCATCTGATGATATATGAAATAAGACAAAGATAAAAGGTTGCATATTGTATGAAATGATTTATATGAAATGTTCAGAACAGGCAAATCATAGAGATAGAAAGTAGATTCATTCTCAGCACTTTGGGAGGCCAAGGCAGGTGGATTTCCTGAACTTAGGAGTTTGAGACCAGCCTGGGCAACATGGTGAAACCCTGTCTCTACAAATACAAAAATTAGCTGGGCATGGTGGCACACATCTGTAGTCCCAGCTACTTGGGAGGCTGAAGGCAGGAGGATTGCTCAAACCTGGGAGGCGGAGGCTGCGGTAAGCTGAGATCGAACCATCCAGCCTGGGCAAAGGAGTGAGACCCTGTCTCAAAAAAAAAAAAAAAGAAAAAGAAAGTAGGTTCTTGATTACAGGGGTTGGGAGAATAGGAAATAAAGAATGATGTCTCATGAGTAGGGTGTTTCTTTTTGGGGTGATGGAAATGTTCTCAAATTACAATTGACCCTTGAACAACATAGGTTTGAACTTCACAGGTCCACTTATAAGTTGATTTTTTTTTCAGTAAATACATTGGACATTTTTTTGGAAATTTGCAACAATCTGAAAAAACTCTATAGTCTCAAAATATCAAAAAAATTAAGAAAAAGATAGGTATGTCATGAATGCATAAAATATATGTAGATATAAATCTGTGTGTTAATAGACTTTATGTTATCCGTAAAACTTCTGGTCAACAGTAGGCTATTAGTAGTTAAGTTTTGGGAAAGTCAAATGTTACACATGGATTTTTTACTATGAGGGGGTAGGCACGCCTAACCCCAAGTTATTTCAAGGGTCAGCTGTAGATAGTGGTGATTGTTGCATAACCTTGTGAAAATACTAAAACCCACTGAATCGTACACTTTACCAGAGCAAATTTTATGGTTTGTGAATTACATCTTAATAAGAAAGATCTGGTAGCAAAAGAACACATGACTGGTGATAGAAGGCTTTTTGTGGAGGTATTGTCTAGCGTTGCCAGTGGAATGGGACTGGTGGCATTGTCCCATTGTTTAATAGGATGGTGCTTTTCCCAGTGGTGCCCATGTAGCTTTTGGTGCCAGAATCCTATTGTAGGCTGACATTAGCAAGCTCCAACGGGCTGGACAAAGCGTAATATTAGGTTTTTATCATCACAGTAGCACTCTGAGATCTCTGGATTATTCGTATATTTATTATTCATATGTGATGGTACTGAGGGAGGAGGGCTTAAAGTTGGGTGGTAGAGTAGGGAGCTGAACCCTGGTCTTTATACTTTCTTTCTACTGTTTTTTGTAAACAAACTGTCACACACTTGAGAGGTAGCCAATCAGTTGCAAAATGGTGTTGACGATGAGAAAGTTCACTCTTGCCAGATTAACTCGCTTATTTAAGGATTTATGCTCATGAACTTTTTCTTTGATGCCACTATCAATATTGACTCAAGATGTCATTTACAGCAATAATAAAGTACTCTTTAATTTGCAAAGAACTGTCAAACACAGTACTTCGTATTTTCTTTCTTTCTTTCTTTCTTTAGAGATTTATTTAGAGATGAGGCCTTGCTCTGTTGGCCAGGCTGGAGTGCTAACTGCAGCCTTAGCTCACTCTTAGCTCACTGCAGCCTCTAAGTCCTGGGCTCAAGCGATCCTCCCACTTTAGCCTCCCAAAGTGCTGGGATTACAGGCATGAGCCACCATGCCCACCCTATCTTAGTTTAAAGCTGAGGAAACTGAAGTCTAGGGATTAAGCAACTTCTCTACATATATAGGAAATTAAGAAGTCAAGCTCGCTCTTAAGCCCAAGTTGTATGACTCTGTGTCCGCTCTATTTTTCCATAATGCCTTCCTTTTGCTTTGGTGTGTGCTGAGGCATTCATTCTTCATTCATTCAGTAGTTACTTACTAAGTGCCTCCTATCAGCAAGAATCTGTTCTAGGAGCTGGAGATAATACTGCAGGTAATAAGAAAGAGGAGATCCCTAATTCTACGGTGCAGACGTTTTAGAGGAGGTGACAGACAGGAAGCCATTATCCTAATAGAGTCGGTAATTTCAAAAAGTGTTGTCTTCAGAAGAAAAAGATTTAAAAGGCGGTATGATAGAAGGGACTGTGATACACAGGTGGACTTTTTTAGGTTAGATGGTCACGGGGTGTGTGTGTGTGTGCGTGTAAAATATATATGGGCCAGGTGCAGTGGCTCACGCCTATAATCCCAGCACTTTGGGAGGTCAAGGAGGGTGGATCCTTGAGGCCAAGAGTTTGAGACCAGCCTGGCCAACATGATGAAACCTCGTTTCTACTAAAAATACAAAAATTAGTTGTGTGTGGTGGTTCGTGCCTGAATCCTGGTGACTCGGGATGCTGAGGCAGGAGAGTCACTTGAACCTGGGAGGCAGAGCCTGCAGTGGGCCAAGATTGAGCCACTGCACTCCAGCCTGGGTGACAGGATGAGACCCTGTCTCAAAACAAAACAAAACAAAACAAAACAAAAAACGGGTGTGGTGGCTCACACCTGTAATCCCA